TGTGTGTGGTGGTTGGTTGCAATGTTATAGGCCATTGATGAGAATGTTCTTGCTTTATACAAGCATCCCTGTTAATGTAAGCTTACCAGCCAGCTCATTTCTTTAATTAAAAAAAAAAAAAACAAACAAACAACCCAACCCCACAACAAACAATCCCCAGGTAACCAGCATGTTAATTTTGTTATTATTAAGTAAGTAAGTAAGTGATACATTTCCACAGGGGAGGGGTGTGTGTGGGGTGTGTGTGGGGTGTGTGTTTTATGCTTAAAAAAAAAAAGTTTATTCAATCCTTGCAATGTTTCAACAGCAGCTATAGCAGTTCATTGTTTTCAAACAGCGAAATAACAAAAATTGCTCATGGAATTCTCTGCAGTATTCTTTATTTGCACAGTAGCTGTGGTTTAATGTATTCAGGAAGCCTGGTTTTGTATTGCAGAGGCGATAGAATCTCTGCCACTTGCTAATACTCCAGAGGTATTTGGTCTTCATGCAAATGCTGAGATTGGCTATTATACACAAGCCGTTCGCGATATGTGGTCTCATCTTCTTGAGCTGCAGCCTCAGACAGGTGTGTGTGTGCTCCATTACTTTGAATTGGTTTTGTAAATAAGGCACAGCGAGGTGATGAGCTCCTTGCCACAGGGCTGTGATGCCAGCCATGCTACAGCGCACCTCAGGGGTCCTGGGTCCTGGCCTGGGTGCTGCAGCCTGTCCCGCTGCCTGCACCCTGCATGGGGCAGTGCAGGCACCAGCAGGGGATCCACAGCCTCGTGGGTGGAGGGTTTTGCAGGTGGGGACATGGTGAGATTGTGTCAGGGCCTTGGGGAGCAGAGGGGAGCTGGAAGGGGAGTGAAGCATGCTGAGCCTTGCCGGCACGGAAGCAGTTCAGCACATGGCCAAGGCACGCAGAGAGCCTTCTGGTGCAAGGGTCAGTGCTGCAGAGGGGGCGAGACTTTGATGCCAAAAGGCGAGTCTGCTCTCAGAGAATTAATGATAGAAGGGGTAACCTATGCAGAGTTAGTCTCACTACCTCGTTTTTGTTTCAGGTGAAATTGGTACAGGAATTAGTCGAGATGAATATATTGCAAATGTTGCCAAGGATATAGAAAACAAAATACCGCAAGTCTTTGATCTCAACCAGATACGGAAAGGTTTTGGACCACACATATCCCCCACAACTGTGGTGCTGTTGCAGGAACTGGAACGTTTTAATAAGCTGATCATTCGAATGGCAAAGTCATTGGCTGAGCTGCAATGTGTAAGTAAGAACATACAGAACTACTGCTGGTCACAGCAACTAGAGGCAATCAGTCAGGCTCTACCTGCCCCAGGCTGGCACTCAGGTGCACGCTGTCTTTCCAGGCCTTGGCTGGAGAGGTTGGAATGAGCAGTGAGCTGGATGATGTAGCTCGGGCTCTCTTTAATGGACAGATTCCTGGAATCTGGCGGCGGCTGGCCCCCGACACGCTCAAAACACTTGGAAACTGGATTACTTTCTTTAGAGCTCGGTATAACCAGTACACCAGCTGGGTGAGTGCCTCCAGAAAGCTTTTTGTGTTGTTAATCTCCATGATCTGCTGTGCAAATTGGTGCAGAAGTCAGTGAACACATACTGCTGTCGCTAAGTTACTCAAACTAATGCCAATCACCACCTAGAATGATAATGAGTGATTGCACGACTATGGAGGCAAGACAGGCTAGCCACTTGCTCATCTTTAAGAGCACTGGCCTCTGGGCTGACTACCAGGTGTGGTGGGGGAAGCAGGTGTTGCAGCTTGTTTGTGATTGCAGGTTAAGGAGCAGGACCCCAAGGCCATGTGGCTCTCAGGCCTCCATGTCCCTGAATCTTACCTGACAGCTCTCGTTCAAGCCACCTGCAGGAAAAACAAGTGGCCCCTGGATCACTCCACCCTCTACACAGAGGTCACCAAGTACCAGACTGCAGAAGACATCACTGAAGGGGCTACTCAGGGTAGGTGTTTCTATGATTTGGCAAAAATAATGTAATTAATTGGTGAGAGGGGGAGAGAGAGAGAGAAAGTGCCTGGTATAGTGAGTTAATTACTTGAATTATACCCCACAGACAAGACCCTTGGTTATGCATTTCACAGCCCATATGATAGCAAGCTGGGAAGTTGCTGTGTTCTGGGTTCTGCTTTCC